AGAGCTAACATCTGTTACTTGCTATCTTCCAGACACTGTTGTAAGCCATTTATATGTTTGAACTCACTTATCTTCCCAACAGCCATATGAGGCATATACTATTATAAATGGGGAGGCTGAGGGCTTATTCCAATTATTACAAAGATGTTAAAGGGCAGACCTGAGATTTCAAGGCCAAGATTTCCACCATTATGCTATGTGAAAATGCTTTGTGTTAATAACTTTATATACAGTATATCTAACTTACTCTTCACCATGTGATACATAAACCATTCTCAATGTACAGGTATCCTTTCTGAGTTTCCTTTAAGAACCTTTCTCTAAATTCATGTGATATTTAACCAGGCCTGCCTGAAGCCTGTGCATTTCTCACGTTTATTTCCCTTCGGTGTGATATATTTGAAATCAATCAATGTCTTTTCTCCAAAATCGAATAGCTTTTAGGAGCAATGTCATGTGTCTTCCTTGCTTTGCTAGTTAGATGTATAAGAACTGACTCTTGCTTAGGTAGAGTCTAAATGAGGATTTGTTGCAATAGTGCTGTAGTTGGCAGTAGTTTCCCCCTTGTCGTTTTTCTTTTTCTAAATATATTTTTATTGATTTAAGAGAGGAAGAGAGAGAGACAGAGAGAGAGAGACACACACACACACACACACAGAGAAACATTAATGTTGAGAGGGAATCATTGATCGGCTGCCTACTGCATGCCTCCTACTGGAGATAGAGCCCACAAAACTGGTATGTGCCCTTGACTAGAATCGAACCCGGAACCCCCAGTTCACAGGCTGACATTCTATCCACTGAGCCAAATTGGCCAGGACTCATAATTTTTCTTTTCTTTTCTTTTTTTTAAAATATATTTTATTGATTTTGTACAGAGAGGAAGAGAGAGGGATAGAGAGTTAGGAACATCAATGAGAGAGAGTCATCGATCAGCTGCCTCTTGCACACCCCCTACTGGGGATGTGCCCGCAACCAAGGTACATGCCCTTGACCGGAATCGAACCCGGGACCTTTCAGTCCGCAGGCCGACGCTCTATCCATTGAGCCAAACCGGTTTCGGCCATAATTTTTCTTGACTGCCACCAATAGAAAGATGTTTTTCATCACTAGCTGGTGGATACACACACAATGACACACGTTGTATTCGTAAGAACCAAAGTTTCATGAATAATATGTAGCCTTACATGTTAATAGCATTTATTCTGTTATTTAACCTATTTCATTTCTCCAAAACAACAGCCAAACTGATTTTACAACCCATTAATGGGTGGTGAGCATCAATTCAAAAAATACTGCATATGAGAATATTCTAGGTCTCTTTCAGTGCTTAGACTGAGGTTCACCTCAAGATGTGATTTGTCTAAACTTATTTGGTAACCATGCTGATTTTATAAAAATAGAGCCTAGAGACTGTGTCACAAATCCACCTGACACTTTTGTGTTAACCTTGCTTTTCTCTTTCCCTTCTTTGTTTATTCATTTATTATTTTTCTACAGCTATTTGTAGAGCATACGCTTCAGATAGTGGACAAGTACTGAGAGGTCGAGGATGAGTAAAAGCAGGCATGCTTTCTGATAGCACAATGAGAATGAAAACAGTTCGCCCAATTGCACACAGGAAAATATTTTCAAATAACCATTAGTCCTGTGAACAAGAACCCGGCATCACATAAAACAGGAAGCCAGGTTTTACCATGGATGTGGGACATGGCTCAGTGGGAAGTGGCACTGGGGCTGAGACTGGAGAGCAAATAAAAAACAAGCAGGCAGTAGACAGCACGGCCCACACCATGTCTCAAGCTTCTTGGACCAGAGGAAGGCATGGACTCCTAGTGGAGGAATGAAAAGAAAAGATCTTAAAGATAAGTCTGGAAAAGGAAACAGGGTCAGATTGTACAGCAAGCCTGTCAAACTCAAAGGCTAACACGGGCCAAATAAACAAGGCATGCGGCCCGCAGGCCGAGAGTTTGACATGCTTACCATGGAAATAGATGAAAGGGTTTTACAAGCCTGGAGAACATAAGACTCACATTTTTAACATGTAACTGTGCTGTGTGGAATGGATTGGAGAAGTCTTAGGATAAGAGAGAGAAATCCGAATAGCCTAATACAATGGTCTGAGTCAAACATAGTAGACTAGGGTGCATTAGGGAGGTGGCCTTTTATTATTTATTTCCCCTTACTGAGCACGTTTTGCAATGTCTTTCCCATGCACTGGGACCAGACTTGTTCATTTTGGAGCTACCAACTAAGAAATAATAAGCCATGAGGTAGCATTCCAAAAAAAAAAAAAAGGTGTAGAAATGCAACAGTGAGTCCAGGTGCTAAATGACCAAGATACAAAATAACTCTTACTCTTTTCTTTAAAAAAGAAAAATAATAATAATGATCTAAACTTGCATATTACAGCTATCACCAAACTGTACTATTTCACTAGGTACAGATCTAGAAAATAAAATACTTAAACTCCCTCTGAGAGTTTAAATTCTGAGACAGAGAGTTTCCGATTTTATGTGCTGAAGGAGAAAGATGATTTTTAACAGCTAAACCTGGCTCCAGGCTTAAATAAATTGAGATTCAGACTGGGCAAAGGAAGCATGTTGCTTCTTGCCTTGTCTTCTTTTTTCTTTGATTAATAATTCCCTGCATGGTTGAACATTGTTGTTATCTTACCATGATGGGCATCTTTTCCAGTGTGTTCTTAGAATAAAAATAACTTAACCCTAATAAGAAAAAAAGTTCACTCCTGCAGGGTGAGTTTAATAAAACCACTGTCCCCCTTCGAGTTGAGTGGAGTCATGGGGAGAGTCCTCTATCTGTCTAATTTCTCCACCTGCCTGCCTCCAGTGGCGAGCTGAGGGCTGTCACAGCTGCTCTGAATCCCACCCCCGTCTGCATAGATTGTTTCCATTGGCATCTGGATCTGTTAGTAGTTGACACTCAGTTCTCATCCACCTCACCCTCTCTACCTGATTGATTGGCCATCCCAAAAGACTTTGCTCACAGCCTAAGCAATCATTGTTTCTGTTATGTTAGCTGAGAGGACTCTGAGGTACAACAGGTCCCAGGCATGGTTGCATAGTAATTACTGTTGCTTACCGAAAGAACTGTAAAACACAACAAACATCATTCTAGTGGTGCAGTTGGAAAGATGGTGAGCCAAACAGCTCAGGTGCAGGCACCTTTCCTGGTGCCCACAAAACCTATGGCAGAGACAACCAGCCAGTCATTGCACCGAGGTGAAGAATGTCATTTCCTAACAGGCAATACCAAAGATGTGTTTCTCAGATTTTCACAAAGCACTTCCTGTGTTTCTGTCTAAATTGCCCCCAGGAGCTTCATTTCCGACATCTTCTGTGTGACTCAGTCTTCCGTGGTAAACACGATTTTATCTATTGAACAAGTAAACATCAGAATAGTTACTCCTCATTAGAATCTTAGTGCCTCACATGAATGCTTCATGGAATTTCTCTTTTTTCTTGTGTTTTCAAGTCCCTTCCTTATCCTTCAGCACAATGATCATTATAAAGAACAAAATGTACGAAGTACCGTTCACCCATCCTTGATACTCTACCTTTGTTTCCTAAGCAGGGAATTGGTCACAAGGAATTGGTTTGCATCCCCGGACACTGCTTGCAGGCACTAATTCTCAGATTCAAGTAAAACTTGAACATGTGATTTCAGGGACATCATGTCAAGAGAAACATGTCAAAACAGTGTTGATACAAAGAGCTCTATGGGAATGCCAAGTCTTTGAGGGAAACAAAACCGATCAAAGCAGTAGGAAAGCATTTTTTTTTTTTTATTTAAACAGGGAGTTCTTTGCAAACAGCAGAGGCCAGATCTGCTCTCCTGCGGTTCATTTTCTCTTCTCATCCCTCTACCCTGTCCTGCTCCATCAAGCGTGAAGCCTGCATCGAATCATTCATCCTGCCTAAAACCCTTCGGTGTCTCCCCAGCACCTATAGATTCTGAGTGAGCTCCCATCTTGGGATCTACGCTCTGCCTTCCTCTCTGGACTCACACTTCCCCATCCTCCCTGTGATTCCAGAAAACCCACACTGTTTCCTTTTCCCACACACACTCTGTTTTCTCCCCTGTCTGTGCTTAGCATGTGCTACTTTTCTCTTTCGACTATGACTTTTGGACCTGAACTTTTGAACTCTTCAGATCAGCCATTTATTGGGTGCTTGATTTTCGTGCATTACTTGAACTTCAGTGAGCCTGGATTTCCTCATTTGTAAAATGGGAGCATAAAAGCAGCATTCTGGGACTGCTAGGTGTATTGCTGTTGGATGTTTCTGAGTCTTCCCCAGGGAAGAAGTTGCTCAGTAGAAATGTCAGCAATATTAGCTTTATTTTTTAGTTATTTTTTCTTGTCACCATCCTTCAGAAGGTAGCTCGGGTTTTACCTCTGGTGAGAAGCGTTCCCTCATGTCCTCTTTTCAAACCCTAGGTAAATCATGTCCTTGGACTGTGCACTTACTTCTTTATTGCTCCTTTTAAATTCTTTTCCTGTCAGTGTTGGTTCATGCTTTTTCATCGTGTTGCTGGGCAATGAAGCATGGCATGGGGAAATGGGCACCAGAATGCTTCCAGGAGGTTTTGTAATCCACATTTTATGGGCCTCTTAAAAAGTGTAGTTAGGATATGATCGTTAATGGTAAGTGAATAAGTGACGTTTTCTTTATTTCCTTGGCTTTATAACTTTGTAAGCTAGCAGTTAATGAATGCCTACTATATTCCAGGGCATGACTTAGCTATTATACTTCATTTTTTTACCATGTTCAAAGGTGGTAGATATTATTATTATTCCCATCTTATATGAGTGGAAACTGGGGGTCCAGAGCCATAGAGTGAATGATAAATCATCTACTCCCAAAGCCTGACCTCTTAGCTCAACCACACTCTGCTCGGTTCTGTAGGGTGTCTTCACCTCCGGGACTCCTCTGTGTGTAACTGTTCCACACACATGTTTCTTTCTGACTCTCTCCCAGGTACTCCTTCCAAGACGAGGAAGACATGTTCATGGTGGTGGACCTCCTGCTGGGCGGGGACCTACGGTATCACCTACAGCAGAACGTCCATTTCCAGGAAGACACCGTGAAGCTCTTCATCTGTGAGCTGGCCATGGCCCTGGACTACCTGCAGAGCCAGTGCATCATCCACAGGTCAGTCAAGTCCAAGGGGACAGCCTTGGACTGAGCGCACAGGAGAGAATTCAGTATTCAACAGAATGCTGCCTTCAATGGATCCTTATGGAACATGACATTTAACACCCACCTAATTCTTATTATTAGGAATCTATTCCCTGAAGTATGTTTTTGTCCTTATTTTGAAGATTAAAAAACAAGACAACTAAGCACATTGTGCCCTCAGACCAGAACCAATGAATATTGGTACTATCTTCTAACTAAGCTTAGAAGAAGAGGAAAAAGGTGACACACAGGAACTTAATAAATATTAAATGAATTAATTGAAATACTAATAAAGAAGTTCATAGGAAGGACAGTCTCTGGGGAGAACATATGAGTCCTAACTACCTGTCAGCAGAGAAACTACCTGTTTTATACACTTGGAAACATGTATGTTAAATAAAGACAAATACAGTTGATCCTTGAACAAGATGGGGAGGGGTTAGAGATGCTGAGACCCATATCAATGAAAACCTGCATATTACTTTTGACCCTCCCAAAAGTTAACAAGAATGGTTCTTCAGTATCCTCAGTATCTTGGAAGGCGGAGGTGGGGTGCACGAAGGGGTTGTTTCCAAGACCATCCTCAGGTACCAAAATCCACAGATGCTCAAGTCCCTTAAACAAAATGGCCTACAGTCTGCTCTCTGCATCTGAGGATTCCCAACTGCAGATAGAAAATACTGTTTTCGATTCATGGTTGGTTAAATGCGCAGGTGCCAGACCCTGGGATAAGAACAACTGACTGTGTATTTATGGGGGGATCAACATATACAAGGACCCGTACAGATCAAACCTGTGTTGTTTCAGGGTGAACTATAACAAGGCAGCTATAAACTCAAAGAAACAATAGAGAAGAAAGATAATACTTTACATTTATAGAGAAATTGGTAGTTTTAATGATGATTTCCTATGTGACATATCACTTGATCACTGTAATAATTTGTGGCAAGTAAACAGAGCAGACACAGTTAGATTAGTTTAAATATGAGAAAAAAAACCATGATTAGGAGATACTACATTTTTACCTAGGTTACTGGTGAGAATTTTGAACCCAATCACCATCAAAGCAGCTACTATTTCCTGATGACATGCCAGGCACTGCTAAGTACTCTCACGTGGTATCTTATTAAATTCTCAAAACTGAAGGCAGAATCCTCATGTCATTATAATATCCCCATTACACAGATGAGGAAACCACGGCTCAAAGAGTTGCCGAGGACAAACAGGTGACAAATGGCATTGCTAGGATTTAAACATAGGCTTATTGATCTCAGAGGGAGAGTTCTGTCTGCTACCTCAACTTCATTCATCACACACCATTAAATGAAAAATCAACACATGTGACCACTAGTGTCATCTCTAGTCCTTAAAGAATTTGCTGAATTTTTAATGATAATCACATCTCATTTAGTAAACACTTGGCTAGATAAAATATTTGCCCAACCACAGCTAACATTTATGTGGAACTTATCTTGATTAGTAAAGAGGCAGCATAATCATTTATAGATTCTCTGTGAAGGCACCATGAACCAATTTTCTTTTTCTTTTGGCCTTGGGCCGGTACACTTACATAGTTATTATTTAATTTCCTGTCTTTGGAAGGGTTTATTTGTACTGTAAAAGTGCTCTTCGGAAAAACAGATAAGTGGGGAGCAGACTAGTGAATCATGATGTGGGAAGTAAATTTACACACCTGGCGCTTTGTCAATTCCCAGCGGTCTTTCTAACACAGGCTCCCACATTGGTGTCTGCCCTCCCACAGCACTTTCTCAGAACGTTGCTTGTTTGTAGCCTATGGAGTCCCTCCCAGAGCCTCCATGCTCACTCATCCTCCCCACCAATAGCCAATCACTGTCTGTTTTGGTTGCTGGCATTATAGATCTCAGAAAGGAGACAGGAACTGTGGGAAACCAAGCCTTTTAACCGTCTCCTTTCTCTGTTTGAATGTGGGTTCCAAGCCTTCTTTCTCTGAACTTCATTCTCCTTCTCATCATGAGTCACGATGCTCTGAGCTCTTTTGCTGTATGCTTAGAACTGTGCTCCTAAAGGAATTCCGGAGCAGAAAACCCAATCCAAAACAAAACAGAAAACTTGATACCATTGGTACCCTAATCCCAAATATCACTGTTCTGTCCTCTCCCTGTTCCCACATCATTTTGCCACTTTAGTAAGAAACCAAGATTGACTTTCTGTTCAATGCCCTTCAAACACCCATGATTATGACTTTGTGCATGACTTCAGAAAGGCCTCTTTGTACTGAAATGTCTCTGCATCATAGCACATGAATGGAAGGCAAACTCAGTGACATTTTGAACGCTGTGTTAAAAGGAAATGACATGCTCTGGGATGAAGCAAACAATACAGGGGCATTTCTTTTTATTTATTTATTTATTTATTTTTTTAATCAATCTTTATTGTTCATATTGTTACAAAGGTTCCTCATTTCTTCCCCCCTCCACCAGGTTCCCACCCCACCCTCTGCCCCCTCCCCATCCCCCATTGTCCTCATTTATAGGTGCAGTTTATGTTCAGTCTCTTCCTCCCTGCCTTTCCCCAATAGTAAATCCCTTTTCAGATAGTAAATCAGTTACTTAGCATTTTCTCATATCAATAATACCACCACATGCCCAATGATACATTTCACACAAAAGACATTTCCAAATAGGTCAACCAGCCTCATCCAGGCCCCACCCAAGGCACTCACAGATCAACACCCCAGCCCTATACTAACTCAACACATCCAGATCTAAGCCTTCATCACTTGATTTAGCAGACCCTCAAGTTCCCACAAAAGTTTCCAGCCATGTCTGAGAGGCAGCCGTGGGGTAGGGGCAGGCGAGAAGCGAGCTGTTCCAGGCCTGGCTGCTCCGGGCCTGGCCTCTGTTGCTCTGGTTCGTTCCACAACCAGCTGCTCCAGGTCTGGTCACCGCCACTCCTGACCTAGTTGCTCTGGACCTGGCTGCTGCTGCTCCGGGCCTGGCCACACCAGACCCGGCTGCTCCGGGCCTGGCCGCTCCCAGCCTGGCAGCCGCTGCTCCGGGCCTGGCCGCACTCGACCCGGCTGCCCCGGGCCCGGCCGCTCCGAGTCTGGCCGCTCCCAGCCTGGATGCTTCGGGCTTGGCTACTGCTGTTCTGGACCTGGCTGCTCCCAACCCGGCTGCTCTGGACCCAGCTTCTCCAGGTCCGGCCACTCCGGGTCTGGGTATTCCTGGACTGGCCACTCTGGGCTTGGCTGCCTTCGCCTCAGGCCTGGCTGCCACTGCCCCAGGTCTGGCTGCTCCAGTGCTGGCTGTTGTTGCTCTGGTTCTGGCTGCTGCTGCTCTGGAGCCTGGCCATTGCTGCTCCAGGCCCGGTTGCCATTGCTTTGTGCCTGGGCACTCTAGGCCTGGCCGCCGCTGTTCCAACATTCTGTCCTTTTTTTTTTTTTTAACGCATTTATGTTGCAATGTTGGCTGGTGAGTTGAGTTCTGACTTAGTCTTTGATTTTTCAAGATCTTCTTTGTATTCTTTCTTAAGTAATTTTACTATCTTTTGCTCTCACTTGATTTCTTCACATTGAGAACTTTGGTTTCTTCCTCCTTGTCCTGGGAGCTCAGCAGGTTGGCCTGTGGCACCCCTTTGTTCTCCGTGGGCTCCCGCGCTGCTCCAGCCTGTTGCCGGGGTTGGCGCCGCCCAGGAAGAAGCCCCCGGCCTTGGCTCCATTGCCCGCACTCAGAGGTCGATGGCTCGGGGGCACCCCCCCCCCCCGGGGGGGCCCCATCGCCCGGCTCCCTGCCGGCGCCTGGCTGGCTGGTGTCTGGCAGGGGCTCCTGCTCCCTGTCGCATTCCTCCAGTCTGGAGCTTTTTTTTTTTCTCCTTCCCGCTAGGGGAGTCTAGGATCAGAGTCAACAGACTGTCCTCTGCGCGCAGTGCGCGCGACTCTGGGGGCTCCGTTTTTTGCCACTCCCCTGGGATTCCACCTCACAGCCCCGTCTCCCCCTGCCCGAGCCTGGGTCCCCAGGGTCTGGTCCAGGACTGGGCTTCAGAGCAGTCCGGACTGAGGCTCAGCGCCACCGGAGGCTTTGTTTCTTCACGCTAGGGTAATCCAGCATCAGAGTCAACATTCAGTCCTCTGCTCGCAAAGTGCGCGCGACTCTGGGGGCCCTGCTTTTCGCTGCTGGCTTGGGATTCCGCCTCACAGCCCCATCTCCCCCACCGGAGCCTGGGTCCCCAGGGTCTGGCTCATAACTGGGGGTCAGCACTGCCGGTTCAGGGGTTTAGCCCAGGCTGGGGGTTTTATTTCCTTCCTGCTAGGGAACGCCAGGCAGCACCCAGCCCTCTCCTCCTCTCCGGTTGCGACTTCTCCTCTCGCACGTGCGTGCGAGCACGCAGCATGTCTTCGTACCTTAGACTTTTTTTCAGCTCCTCTGATTTTCCTTCTGGTTTTCTCTTTCCTTCTTGTTGTAGAATTTTCAGTCAGTCGACTACCTGTAGCTCTGGGCGACGTCAACTCTACATTTTAGTTGTATTCCATTGAAATTGTTGTGTGCTGCTGCGGTTAGGTGTCTACCCGAGCAGCCATCTTCTCAATGTCTTTCTACAGGGGCATTTCTATTGCCTCCAAGGTCCACCCTCTGCTTCATGTCACAATCAGAGCAGCTTGCACCTCTCCCGAGGAATTGTGGCATTTATTATGTGTAATTAATTAATGTCTGTTTGCTCTTCCGAGTTGTAAACTCCGGATATTAGGGCCATGTATGTTTTGCTTTTCATTGTATAATCAGTGTGCAGTAAAATATGAAGGAATGAAGACTGCCTGAACCACACAAATGACTGGTTGACTAGAAGCACAAAGCTACAAATAACAAAGACAAAATGAAAACATAGCACATGAAAACTAGAAATTTTGGACCTACCTTGGTTTTCACCTTGGGTGATCTTATCATCTATTGTCCAAACCAGAGTACGCCTAAGGATGAAAGGAATTGCTGTTA